CGAGTCAAGGTGAGGCCGTATCTCCAGTCGTCGTGCACGCCATGACCGTGGTGCGCCGCCGAGCGCGAGCTCGCCGTGACCAGCCACAACATGTGCACCTCCGCTCCTTCTCTCCCTCCTCTGGTCTTTGCCATAGGTCCTAGGAGCTTAACCCACTGTCCTTTTCAGATGCTACCGCCGGGTTGCGCTGGAACACGCCGCCGCTCCTGCCGCAGCCGCCATGGCCGCCATGACAAGCAAGCTCGCCGTTGCCGAGCTGGCCTATCGCCTTCCTCCTCTCTGGTGCGCCTTAGGTAGAGTAGACCTAACCCTAGCTAATGGCATGACGGAGACCCGCCTCTCGCCACCGTCTAGCTAGAACGCCGAGAGCGCCACCGTGCTCTGTGCGCCGTCGCGCGACCACGCACGTGGGCAGAGCTCATCGTTGCATCGCTGGATCCCTAACCACCCTAACTAGCTCCGTTGAGGCACCGCGGAGCCATAGGGCTCATCACTAGAGCAAATGGTGGTCGGAGACCATCGACGTACCGCCGCACACCCTCCGCCTTCCGCCATTGCCGTCGGCGAGCATGCTCCGGTGGACCTCCGACCAAACCGAGGGTACCCCTAGGCGCGGGAAGTCACGAGGAGTGCAACGGTGGTGACCTCACCACCGGTGGCTTCCCCGTCGACGAGCAGTGGACGGTCAACCACCTTGTCCTGCCTTTGTTTGACTGACAAATGGGGCCGTTGACCTCTGGGTCCCACGCGTCAGCGGCTGTAGCTTTAGGGTTTTTGTTTTATTCTTTTTCTAGAATTTTGTGCTAACTTTGGAAAATCATATCTGGAGCTATAGGTGTCCAAATTGAGCGAACCAAATTTTTTTGGATTCCTCATGAAGTGTAGTATTTGATAAAAATATAAAATGCACTATTTCTGGTATTTTTCTGGGAGAATAAAATGTAGCTAGATAAATGTTTTTTAAATGTTTTCAATCTTGTAAAATGCATAACTTGAGCTAGGAAAGTTATAAAAATGTGATTCCAATTTTGTTGGTCTTATCTTGTCATGTACTACATGGGAAAAATATTGGTTGCACAGTGATCTTGCTAGAAATAGGAGTTTGCTATTTATCTTGAATAAATGCTAGATTCTTGTGCTATTTTTCATGGTAAAAATATGTATCCAATGAGCATAAAATTTATTGCACAATGTTCTTGTGTTGGCGGTATTTGGACCTCGGTCCACTCTATAATGAAATCAGCCAACACTTGAGACTTGATGGCTGTCCGAGGGGCATACGAAATGCCTTGACCCATCAACTCGAGTGCCCACTTCACGATTTTTCCTGTGGCATCCTGTTTTTGGATGACCTCGCCGAGAGGGAAGGACGTCACGACCATCACCGGATGCGACTCGAAGTAACTAACTTCCACTTGGCGATGAGGACGACATACAAGAGTTCTTGGATTTGGGGATAGTGAGTCTTAGAATCGGACAAGACCTCGCTAATGAAGTACACGGGATGCTGCACTTTGAGGACGTGTCCCTCTTCTTCTCGCTCCACCACCAGGGCGGCCCTGACCACTTGCGTGGTGGCGCAATGTAGAGCAGAAGCGGTTCCCCATCGGTTGGAAAGACCAGGATCAGGGCCTTCGTCAGAAGCTGCTTGACCGTGTCAAGTGCCTCCTGGGCCTCGGCATCCATTCGAAATGGTTGGCCTTCTTCAGGAGCTGATAGAGGGGGAGACATCATTCGCTGAGGCATGAGATAAAGCAGCTGAGCGCGGTGAGGCACCCTGTAACTCGCTGTACCCCCTTTATGTTCTAAATCGGGCCTATTCTCGTGATGGCTGAGATCTTCTCTGGGTTGGCTTCGATGCTATGCTCGAGAGACGATAAAACCCAGCAGCTATACCCCTTGGGACCCCGAAAACACACTTCTCGGGGTTGAACTTAATGTTGTTTGCTCGAAGTTTCGCGAAGGTCTGCTCTAGGTCGGCTATGACCTGGTTAGCCCGTTTGGACTTGACCACGATGTCATCCGCGTAGGCCTCAATAGTTCGCCCAATGAGGTCCCCGAAACATTTGAGCATACAACGCTGGTACATAGCCCTCGTGTTTTTTAGACCGAACGACATCGTGACGTAGCAGAACGATACGAATGGGGTGATAAAAGATGTCGCGAGCTGGTTGGACTCTTTCATCGCGATTTGATGGTACCCGGAGTATGCATCAAGGAAGCAAAGGGTTTCGCACCCTGAGGTTGAGTCGACTACTTGGTCTATGCGTGGCAAAGGAAACGGATCCTTTGGACATGCTTTGTTGAGACCCGTGTAGTCGATACACATTCTCCATTTTCACTATTTTTTGTACCAGAACAGGTTTGACTAACCACTCGGGGTGGTATACATTCTTGATGAACCCGGCCGCCAAAAGCTTCGTAATCTCCTCGCCGATGGCCCTGCGCTTCTCCTCGTCGAAGCGACGTAGGCGCAGCTTCACCGGTGTGGAACCTGGCCTAATCTTCAAGGCATGCTGGGTGACTTCTCTCGGAATGCCTGGCATGTCCGAGAGTTCCACTCAAAGATGTCTCTATTGGCGCGGAGAAAGTCGACGAGCGCACTTTCCTTTTCGGAGAAAAGCGTGGTGCCAATACATACCACTTTGTCATTGGAGCCACTAGGGTATATGAGAACCTCCTTGGCACCCTCTATAGGCTCAAAAGACCCGACCGACCGCTTGGGGCGGGTGCTTCTTCGACGACCTCTTTCCTGATGGCCACAAGCTCCTTGGAGGCGACGATTGTCTTGGCGTGTTCGCAGCACTCGACCTCGCACTCATAGGCGCGCTGGAAGGAGGTGCCGATGATGATGACCCCGCACAGTCCTGGCATCTTCAACTTCAGATAGGTGTAGTTGGGGACGGCCATGAACTTCGCGTAGCATGGACGTCCCAGGATGGTGTGGTAGGTTCCGTGGAACCCGACCACCTCGAAAGTAAGGGTCTCCGTCCTGTAATTAGTCGGATCCCCAAAGGTGATGGGCAGATCGATCTGCCCAAGTGGCACGGCCTGCTTTCCAGGCACGATGCCGTGGAAAGGCGCTCCGGTCGGTCGGATGCGCGATTGGTCGATGCCCATGGCGTCGAGCGTTTTCGGCGTACATGATGTTAAGGCCGCTGCCTCCATCCATCAGTACCTTGGTGAGCCGCTTTGTGCCGATGATCGGGTCGACCACGAGCGGATATCTCTCCGGTTGTGGGACACTTTCCGATGATCGGTCCGATCAAAGGTTATGGTAGACTCCGACCATCGGAGGAAGGTGCACCGTCGTAACTTTAGGAGTTTTGGGGATTAAGGAGAAGCCCGTTGGTGATGCTATCCAATGTGACCGTGAAGATCTTAGAGCCATCCACTAAATTTGAAATTCCACATCTCTTCTGTGCGGGGCTGTGAGGAGCGATGCGTGTTTTGTGAGATCGTGTCGCGGTGATTGCGCCCGTGTGATGCTTGCGCCGAAGATCAGCGCTCGATTTTCTGCCTGGTTTTGAACCCCCCTTTATTTTTAATAAATTTCCAGGGGCGCAAGCCCCCCCTGTTCCCTACAAAAAATGTCTCTAGTGGTTGTTTACACTTTATTACATTGTCTCTGTTTGAAATTGGCTGTACATAATGGGCATCAAATGCTAATTATAAATGTGTTTTATGGATGTATTTACATTTTCAACCATCACACTACATCTCGTTTATACTTCTCTTGTTGCTATTAACTTCTTAAAGTAGTACTCCTTCCATCTCAAAATATAAGGAATTTTGGGTTATTGTCCTAAATCAAATTATCGAAAGGTTAACTAAGCTTATAAAAAACAATGTTATTTATTTAAAGTTTAACCAAGTTCGACATCGACGTAATTAATGTATTTGAGAATTTTTTTGTCATAATTTCTTTTCCAACTAGTATGATGAAAATCAAATTAATGTATTTTAGTTAATCTACTGTTTCAGAATTGCTATTTATATTAATTATATTAGGCACTTACCTCTGGTTTATTCTAAATAGTTAGATGACCATAACATCTAACATTTTCAAATAATATGTAATTATTGGTTTTATTATAAACTTAGATCATCATAAAATCCGATCCTACTGTATATGTTCTTTTCCTCTTATTTTTCGACTAATCTTGGTATTTCTAGGTACTCTTCGAAAACTTGGTGGCCTCTTCTAATGCTATATATTGTAATAAGATAATTGATAGCTGAATAGACAATGAAGACTTTACCTGGTCTTATATAACATCAGGTAGACTCTGTACTCGGTATAAAGACCAGCTGTGCTATATAAATATAAAGGGTGATGATCAATTAAACCCCTATAATCGACACTAGATGGACTCTTGTGCCTAGCAGGCGACCATTAGAAAAAGTCAATCAAACTTTATGCTTAGGTTCAATGCGACACTGTCCCCTAACACCTGGGCCAAAAAATGGGAGGTTCTATTTGAAAACGAAAACCAGTACACAAGTTCCTGTCCCTGTAGTAGGATAGCAAGGCAGCTGACACCGTCAGGAGCAAGTCACACACGGATCCGAGGAGACCTATTCATCAATCATCACCATATGGCGATTCGAAATACGATACGTGTACGGCGATTGAGATAAATAAAATACTCGCCGTATTATATACAAGAGCATGAGGAATTTACAGGAGCATGGTATGACTTAGTATATTTAAGCAACTACGAAAGATTGACAGTGTCGACGTAGTTAGCCAAGTGCCCAGACAACGTCGCCGGTAATATAATCCCCATCCCATTTCATTACGAACTTATATATATAGCACACCTCCCTTTCCCATCCGCTCTCACGTCTACAGCTTCAGAAGCCTCCGACCACGCCTCGCTACTGCAATCATTCGCGCCTCGCTCGTGAGCTAGCGATCAACGCAGTTACAGTACGCAGCACAAGAGGCAAGAAAGAGCACATCAAGAACGTACGTGTTCACCGTTCTACTACTTCCGATGGCAGGACGGGACCAGTCGGCTCTGCTCCTCCTCGCGGCCGTGCTGGTACTCTTCGCGTCGTCCACAGCCACGGCGCAGCAGCAGCAGCAGAACTGCTCGTCCGCCAAGTTCTCCGCGGGGCGGTCGTTCCAGCGGTGCACCTCCCTCCCCGTGCTCGGCGCCAGCCTGTACTGGACGTACCACGCGGCGAACGGCACCGCCGACGTGGCGTTCCGCGCGCCGTCGGACCCCAGCGGCTGGGTCGCGTGGGGCATCAACACCCAGAGCGCGGGCAGCATGGCCGGCAGCAGCGTGTTCATCGTCTCGCACTCGCAGGACGGCAACGGCGCGGTGTCCGTCCTGAGTACCTACCTGGAGAGCACCGTTAACCCCAGCCTAACCAACAACACCCTCAGGGTCGCCGTGCCCGCCGGCCCGGCCGCCGAGTACTCCGGCGGCGCGTACACCATCTACGCGACGGTGGCGCTGCCGGGGAACCGCACGTTGCAGAACACGGTGTGGCAGGCTGGGCCGCTCAGCGGCGGGGGAATCGCGACGCACCCGACGGCCCCGCCGAACCTGCAGAGCACCCAGAAGCTGGACTTCCTGTCCGGCAGCCGTATCACCGGGGCAGGGGCACCCAAGTCCAGGGGGCTGCTATCCCGTCGTAACTTGAGGGGTTTTCAGGGTTGAGACGCCAGTGGTTGCTTTGCTTTCTTCTCACATTGTTCCCGTCTCAGATTGGTCAGATTGTGCATTAGTACGTTATATGTTTTCATTCATTGTCTCACTTTCGATGTTGTATGCGCATTAAAATTTAATTGTATATGTTGTTGTTATTATTTTTTTGAAATAAAGAGCACTGTATGCTGCTACTGTGTATGATATGCTGCTATGTACTGTGCCAATTTTGTCTTTGAAAATGGAGAGAAACAGGTTTGTTCGGACTCCGGAGACATCATTCCAAACAGAAAAACTGGCCTCTGCTCGCGGGCCGCGGCCTCCCACACAAGCTTTGCAGGTCGGTCCGCCGATTCTTCCGTGTAAACCCAGCCCACTTAGGTAGGCTTTGCGGCCCAAACTCCTCGCCTCCTAACCTCTGGCGGCTTGGCCGCTTGGCACGTTGGGCCTTCTCGGCAAGTTCCTGGATCGGGCCCGCTGCCAAGTTCATCAGCCGGCACGGCGCACGCCAGAGCCCAGAGGCCAGGTCGCGGTCGCACGCGCCCCCCTTGGTTGGTTTCTCACTGGAGCGTTCGGGACTCCGGGGTCCGGGTCCTTGCTAGATCCGCAGTGGGAACAGGTCTGAAGTCTGAACCCGGCATGTCGGTCAGGTGCTTGAGCTTGACTCCGTTTAACGCTGCCACGCTTCGCTTAACCGCGTGCCCAAGCATCATCATTCCTTCCGACATCACACGCCGCCGGCCCAAGGCTCCATTCGGAACCATTCCAGCATTTACTATAATTAATTAGAAACCACAGCAAGGGCGACGTGCTTACAAGTACGCTTTGAACATCGCCACATGATATACTCTATACTCCTACGAACGCGGGTGTGCGAACCAGACCAGACCAGACCAGAGCGTCCCGTTCCAATGTTCTTGTCGTTAAACTGAAGGCAGTGACGAACCCATTCTGAATTTTCCTTTTCCTTCGCGCCACGTTCGGTTCCCACTGCAACATGATAGGCCAGCTCAGCTAACGGCTAAACGCTGTAACGCAGCACCTGGACTTTGCTACGGCATGTGTACGGAAGCTTGTACCGGACAGCATCCTGGCCGGCTGGAGAGATTTCCATGGGTTCACTGCGTGCACGACAGAACTACGACACCGCTGCCGGCTACGACTTTAATCACGCGTTGTATGTCTGCCATCATGACACGTGGCACGAATAATCATCTGGGGGCAAGTAATGTCAAATGCTGACAGCAAGCTCTGAAGAAATGCGCGTCCAGGAAGAGGTCGTCATGTCCTTGTACGTACGTATTAGTAGCCACCTGTCTTCCTTGTTCCTTCCAGATGAAAAGCACCATACGACAGTGGAAAACGTACTCCTACTAGCTATCCCATGTTTCTACCTTCTAGAGCCTGATGAACATTGCAGAATAAGGATGGGTAGGTGAACCATAGCAACGGTACTTCACTGGCACCAACTGCCAATGAATAAGGATGAAGCGAAAGGAAGAGAAAATCAAGCAGCTCTACTCTAAGCAAACCTCACAGCAGCATATAATATTAACTCCATGTACGAATCGGGCAGTAGATGTGAAATGGTTTACGGTTGAGCAAATTCACAGTTGGTAACCTAGCTAGAGCTAGGCTACCTGCAGAAGCGAAGAAAGCGCGTTTTGTTCTTCATAAAAAAAAACTGTTAGTACAAGGTATGAACTGAAAAGAAACTATGAGCTGGTCAGAACATCAACGAGAAATAGTAACCATATACAATGAGGCCTTGTTTAGATTGTAAATTTTTACAATCTGGACACTGTAGCACGTTTCATTTGTATTTGACAAACTTTGTCCGATCATGGACTAACTAGGCTCAAAAGATTCGTCTCGTGATTTATAACCAAACTATGTAATTAATTATTTTTTTTATCTACATTTAATGCTCCATGCATGCGTCCAAAAATTGATGTGATGAAGAGAGAGTGAAAAAACTTGAAATTTTGAGACAATCTAAACAAGGCCTCAAATGATCTACTTGTTCGGAGACCTAGGTAGTTGTAGCTCGCAGTGACATACGCAAGCAACAATTTTTTTAACCAACAAACATGACTACACGTTTCTCTTATATACACTAAGAAACTAAAACATGTATACCCTGTCCCTGTTCTGATTTCTGAATATGCTGTGTTCTTATCCAAACTACTGCATCACATGTCTCTTTGACCACCTAGTAGTACAAAAGTGAAATCCCAACGACCAGTTCGTTGCACGAGTCATAAGGCTCGCTAACATACACATGATCCTGCCTGCAACCTTCGTTAATTTCTCCGTATGTTGTTGCATGGTCAGAGTGATCAAAGGTTCTATCATTGTACTGCTTGTACTGGTACTACATGGAAATTCTATACTAAAGAATACTTTCGACAATATATAGTCAGATATTAAAATCTTATAAGTTCTTAACTGGAGATCAACTAATCCCACTTGTATTATCTTTTGTTGCGACCACCTGATGTCAGTAATGATGCTTTCAGAATTAGTCCGAGTACTTGGTCAGTTTGGTCTCTGCATCTCTGCCGTTGCTGCCGTTTAGTTCATTGGTATGTTCAAATGGAGACACGCTTTCTTGTGTTTGTTTACGATCCCTATTATCTATAGAAGAAATAATTGTTACAGCCTTGTCGCAAATATTGTATTCTTTACCAAAGCCCTGAAAAGTAGTTGTACCAATCAAATAGAACTAACATCTTAGACAAGGTAAACAAGTAAAGGTACTTGTGCACAAGTTAATGACAGATGAAGTAAGTCGATGATGGAAGTCTTATTTACACGCCGGGGCCCTATGTGTCTCACCTACGGTTAGCGCGTGAATCGAAAAAAAAAACGCACGAATGGTAGAACTTTTTTCAGCCACAGATAACCGAAAGAGAAGTTTGATAGGTAGTTTACAAATTTATGATACATGGCTCTATATTTCAGCATCTTGTATTTTTTTTACCTCACAAATTGTTCGCTGAATTTTCAGTAAGACGACAGAGCTGAAAAACCTGCATTTCGTCGTTGTACTGTTTCCCGGCGTTGCCAGTTTGCCACCCACCATATATCTGCTTGTTCTCTATTCTTAGAGCAACATCAGCAGGGCCATCCAAATCAGGGTACCTATTTTGAATTTGGATGCTCTCCTTACTTTTGTTGGCTGGGGCCGGAGGGAGGCGCGGCTTGGGCAGCACGCCCGCATGGCAGTTGGGGGACGGCGGAGGCGGACGACCGAGGAAGGAGGTGGAAGGAGGCGCGGCCGGGTTGCCGGCGCTGGGCTAGGGCAAGCGGGCGCCATGGTTCCTTCCGAACGTGGGGAAAAAACCAACGCAACAACTGTATGGGGGCTCAAGCTAAGCCCCTAGGAATGGGCGCCGGAGGGGGATTTGGGTGCCCACCGAAATTTGGGGTAGTAGTAGAGGCCTGCTGGAGCACGGTTTTCGACCTGAGCACTCATATTTAGCTATAGGAACTTAAGTAGGTGTCCTGCTGGAGTTGCTCTTATACAATTATATTGAAGCTTTAGTCCACTGTTGAAAATGTCATTCGATGTTTACTTCATCGAGTTATCACAACGATAGCTAGAATTGGAATATAGTGTTTGCATCATCCATTTCTGCTTTTAGTTATTCATCTTATTATTAGTAGAGGCTCCGCTTTAATCTTTGTAAGATGTGCTAGGAAAAAAAGCGGTAAAGCTCAGGGGCGGACGTACGTCCGTCCAGACGCCGCTTTCCGAGCCTGCGTGTACCGGCCCAAACAGGCCTGCTTACTCTTTGCGTCTCACATCTCTTCTCTCAAAAATATCTCCCGATCGCTCTCACCCATCGCATCCTACTTTGCGTCGTGTGCTCGCTGCTGCCGTCTTCCCCACCGCCCACTCCATCTTGTGCTGCGTGGCTCCCCCATCCAGCACTGCGCTCCATCCTGTGCCGCGCCCCCTCCATCACCATGCCGTGCTCCATCCCCCGCCGTGCTGCTCTCGCTGCACGCTGCTCTCCCATTGCTGCGCACCGTGCCACGTCCCCCTGCGTGTGCCGAGGTGCTGTTGACGCCACCGTTCCCCACTAGAAGGTCGTGGCCGCTATCGATAGCATGGCCGCTGCGATGCGTGACCTCAGTAAGGAGATGTTATGATGAAAGCGCATGTTGCAAACGTATGTTTCAAGTGTTTCAGACGTTTTGGAGGTATGTTACAATTGTTTCATATGAATGTTGTAAAAGTAGATCGGGGGTGTTGCACATGTTGCAAGTGTTTTAGAGCATGTTGCAAGTGTTTCAGAGGTTTCTTCAAAATGTTTCATCTGTTCCCGACGTATGTTGCAAGTGTTCTAATCTGAATGTTGCATATGTTTCACTCATATGTTGCAACAATATGTTCCAAATGTTTCAGCTGTTACAGTCTTATGTTGCAATAAGTGTTTTCATGTTGCAAGTTAGCAATGTTTTATATGGATGTTGCATATGTTTCACACATATGTTGCAAGTGTATGTTTCAGACGTTTCATCTGTTGCATACGTATGTTGCATTCAAGTGTTTAATGTTGCACATCTTTCATGTTGTTCGGAGAGTCAGGGGGCGCAGGGAGTGATGGTGGCACTGCGCAGGCACCGGGGAATGGGGCGCGGCGAGCTGGAGGCCGGCATACGGGGCGCACGGCGCGTCGGTGTCCTGCGGACGGGGCACGCTCGGGGTCGGCGGTCGGGGCGCGATGGGGGCGGTGTGAGTGCAGGGTGGGGCGAACGGCCTCAAATCGAGGTGGATAGAGCGGGCTGCGAGTGCGAGGCGAGTTCTCCGGACACACGAGCGTTGCGACGGGGCGGGATAAGCGTGCGAGACGGGAAAATCAGCGGGCGGGGGCAGGCTACACGGACGTCCGGGCGCTAGCACCTCCGAAAAAAAATTTAGAAATTTTTTATAAAATAAAAAAATATGACCATCAATTCGGTAGACTTTCTTTTTTGAAAAGAGGATAAACCTCGGCTTTTAA